GGTTTGATCCCTGGGCCTGCCCCCCAGGGCGCGCTGAGCCACAATTGAGACTGGGCGTGGGCGTGGTGGCGCACCTGTAATCCCAGCTGTAAGCAGGAGAATTAGCACAAGTCCGATCTAGTAGTGAGACCTTAACACCCTGTAGACCTTTCCCTAAAAAGATAAAAGGTTTTAAAAAAAAAAAAAAAATCAGTATGAATGCTCTGGGTTGAAACCTCACTTATGAAAAAACACCAAAGAGAGAAACTGTAGAATCAAAACACATTTCCAGCTCTTGTTCATTCTTATTCCATAGTAAAGAGGTGCTCGCAGATTCACAAACCCTGAATTGGAATGGTTTGCCCAGAGTCGGTTAAGAGATGGAGAAGTACAAGTTTTCTTGAATCACTAGTTGGTAGCCTGTCATGAAGCCCAATTGGAGAAGCTGATCCTAAAAGATGATTAGGAGAAGTTACTGCGTTTACACTCTTATCTCCTTTTAAGTAAAACGGCCATAGGAGCTGCGTGTGGTGGTACACAATCCTAAAAGATGATTAGGAGAAGTTACTGCGTTTACACTCTTTTTATCTCCTTTTAAGTAAAACGGCCATGGGAGCTGCGTGTGGTGGTACACGTCTGGAATTGCAGCACCAGGGATGCTGAGGCAGGAGGGTCTCAAATTGAGGCCAACCTAGGTAGAGAGTTTGAGCCGGTGTGGTGGCACATGGCCTGTTATCCCAGCATTTTGGGAGGCTGAGGCAGGAGGATTGTTGTGAGTTCAAGACCAGCCTGGACTACAAAGTGAGCTCAAGGCCAGCCTGAACTAACTGCACAGCAGGACCCTGTCTCAAAAAGACAGAAAAGGGGCTGGCAAGATAGCAGTCTAAAGTGCCTGCTTAGGCAGGTGCAGGGACCGCAGTTTGATCCCTAGTACCACATGCCATGCCAGCCACGCCCCCAGAGTGGGCTAAGCTGGCCACAAAAGAAAAAAAACAAAAAATTATGAGGCCAACCTGGGCAGGGGGTATAACAGTGATAGAGCACTTCTAGCATGTGTAAAGCCTTGGGTTCTTTCCTCAGTACCACAAACAGATGCAACTTTATTGAGGTGTTAGTAACAATTATTTTTTTGAAACAGGGTCCTGTGATTTTTTTTTTAGGCTGAACTTGAACTCACTATGGAGTCTTGAACTCATAGCAATCCTCCTGCCTCAGCCTCCCAAGTGCTTGGGTTACAGTGCTTGGAGACGCTGCTGGAGCAATTGAGATTGGGCATGGTGGCACGAGGCTGTAAACAGGCAGATGACTGAGTCTGGTCTAGTAGTGAGACCCTGAACATCCTGTAGACCCTTCCCTAGAAATACAAAAGAAAAAACCTCATTGGTCTTTCTGGTTCATTGTGCCTTCTCTCTAGCATAAAATAGAAGATAGGGGAGTAATCCCAAGGCTCTCCAGGCACCCCAAACTAAGATGTCACTTTTTTTTTTTTTTTTAATGGTACCATTGATTGAACTTGGGACCTTGTGCATGCCAGTCAGGCCTTTATGCCACTGAGCTGTCTCCCCAGCCCATTACATTTTTTTTTTTTAATTTTATTTATTTGTGTGTGTGTGTGTGTGTATGTGTGTGTGGTCAGCTCAGCCCACCAGGGGGCGGGGCTGGCTGGCATGTGGTGCTGGGGGATTGAACTGCGGTCCCTGTGCTTTGCTAAGCTTGTTCTAAGTAGGTGCTTTAGACCACTGAGCCATCTCACCAGCCCCTGTTTTGTTTTGTTTTATTGAGATAAGGTCTCCACCGGGATGGCCTTGAACCCACCGTGTCACCCAGGCCTCCAACTCCTGCCGAGCACCCTGTTTGGTACATTTAAAATTTGTAGTTTGAATATAGATAGGAATAACTGTGCTGTGAGGAAAAGTTACTGCGTTTGTACTCTTTGCCTTTCAAGTTCATATGAGCAGATTGCAAAGCTTTCTTTGGGGGCTGGCCAGATAGTTCAGTGGACTAAAGCGCCTGCTTAGGCAGAGCGCAGTGGCCACGATTTGGTACTCTGGGCGTGGTGGCGCATGCCTGTAATCCCAGTGCCTGGGAGGCTGAAAACGAGACTCGCTATGAGTCCGATCTATGCAGTGAGACTCTGCAGACCCTGTACTAAATACATTTACAAAAAAAAAAATTCTTTGGGCGTTTTTCCAATTCATTTCTACCCTGTAGTGTATCCTCTGAAGAATCAGAGGACACCGAGTGTCTGAGAAGTTTTATCCCTGGCCAGTGCCACGGGTGTGTGGCTGTGCGCAGTTCTGCTAGCACAGTTAGTGTCTAGTTGTCCCCCCCCCAAAGCCTCAGGCAGCCATGGGGTGGCTTCTCGGAGTCTGTAATTGATCTTGACGCAGTGCTGGGATTATGGGTGTGAGTGTCCTGGGCTGCTGCCACTCCTTTTTCTGCTTTTCGCCACCACCATGAATGCTTGCTCTCTGCCATGCACACCCTGCCTTCGAGCCAGTCAAGTGTGGACTGAAACCTCCACTGACTGTGAGCTAAATAAACCCTTCCTTCCTTCATTTTGGGTGTCGGGTATTTGTCCCAGCCATGAGGGAACTGTAACTGGGACTGTCACGATAGGAAGTGGTTCCTGCTTTGGGCTACTTTGATCTTCCAGCCCATGAATCCCACTCTGCGCTGTAGGGATTTAGCGGAAGTGTGGTGACAAAGTGCAGTCTCTTTCTGTGGGTCAGTTAATGATAAACACTTGTCTCTTTCCTGTCTAGAGAATTATCCAGAATTTCCAGCTCCTCATGGCCCTCCTTGCCTCTTGCCCTCTTCTAACAATGGGACACAGTCAGCCTGAACCTCTATTAGGCTGAGATCTGGCAACAAACTCGTGGTGCGCGCCGGGGCTATAGCTCTAGCCTGCCAAGTGGCTAATGCTCCTGTGAGGAAGAGCCATGCATCAGGGCTGGGCTGGGCTCCGTGGCAGAGCGCTCGCCTAGCGTGCCCAAGGCCCACAAAACAAGAAAGCTGACTGGTAAAATGTGATGAATTAAGGGTAATAAACTTTTTTTGCAGTATAGGGAATCAAACTCAAGACCTGTGCTTGCCAGGCAGGCACTTATGCCACTGAGCTATCTCCCCGACCCTAATAAACTCTTATAAAATATTCAGTTTTATTCTTTTTTTTTTTTTTTTTTTTTGCGGAACCAGGGATTGAACTCAGATCCTTGCGTTTGCCAGTCAAGCGCTTATCCTACTGAGCCATCTCCCCAGCCCATCAGTTTTATTCTTGTACCAAAGCAATTTCAAGTAGCAATATCAAGCTTTGGCCATTTATTTAATTATTTTTTGGAAGCAGTGTCTTGCTGTTCGGTTCACGTTGGCCTTGAACTCACTATGTAGCCCAGCCTGGCCTCTGACTTGAAGAGTTCCTCCTGCCTCAGCCTCGAGAGTGCTGGGATTACAGCTGCACACACCACCACACCCAGCTGGGTGACTGTGATTATCTGGGGTGCCGTCCTGGGAGGAGGTGGGTAGTTGTCTCCTTAGATGTGCGTTCAGGGTCATGGCTTTAATTCATACTGTCTCTGCCGGGAAATCGAGCTCTAATTAAAGGGTCACTTTCTCCCTGAGCAAGAAATGCCAGTGTGGTGTTCTGTCCTGAACATCCATCCACATGGCTTTTTTTTCCCTTCCCAACACTGAGGATTGAATTTAGGACCTTGCACTTGCCAGCAGGCAGGCGCTTATGCCGCTGAGCTATCTCCCTGGCCCCTTAACTGTCTTTCTAGAGCAGTCTTTCTGCAGCATCCTTTTTTTTCCCCAGTACCAGGGACCGAGCTCAGTACCTTGGGCTTGCCGGGCAGGCGTGTAAGCCGCTAAGCTGTCTCCATGGCCCAGCATCTTTCAAATAGCTTTGCCCTCTTCTGTGAAGGCACATAATGTATTTCACCAGTCTCCTACTGTTGTACTTCAAGTTTTTCAAAAGTAGTTTTCAGTTTTCCCTCCCCTTTTGTGCCTGGCATTCCCATTTGACCCTGGAAGGATTCTAAATGATGTCCCACGCCCAGGGCTTTCTGTCCACCCTCGCTGCTTGCCCGGAGCCTCTCTGAGGCATCCCATTGCTTCTGTCACACGGCCTGCTAGTCACCTTGGGCCTAATAAACTAAGGAGACAACTACCCACCTCCTCACAGGACGGCATCCCAGATAATCGCAGACACCCAGCTAGGTATGGTGTGTGCACCTGTAATCCCAGCACTCTCGAGGCTGAGGCAGGAGGAACTCTTCAAGTCAGAGGCCAGGCTGGGCTGCATAGTGAATTCAAGGCCAACACGAACTGAATAGCAAGACACTGCTTCCAAAAAATAACAAAATAGCCAAAGCTTGATATTACTATTTGAAAGTGCCTTGGTACAAGAATACATCTGAATATTATATAAGAGTTTATTAGGACAGGGGTGACAGAAGGGGGTCTGTGACTGGTGTCCACTGCATCTCTATGCTGATGAAGAACAGCAAAGCACAGCAAGCCAAGATAGGGTCCTTCTCAGCGTAGAGCTTTCTTTTCTTTTTTCTTTTCCCTCCCTGCTCCTCCCCTCCCTTCCTTTCTTTCCTTTTGTCTTTTTGAGACAGGGTCTTGTGGTACAGCATAGGGCTGGGATTAAGCTCACTTTGTGTCCCAGGTTGGCCCTAACCTCACAACTATCCTCCTGCCTCAGCCTCCCAAGCACTGGGATTACAGGCATGCGCTACCACGCCCGGCTAGCACAGAGCTCTGTGTTTGTCAGAGTAAATAAATCATAAACTCCGCTCCTGCCTGGCGCCGCACAGCCCAGCACAGGGCCTTGTTAGAGCTGCACCCGGGGATCAGGGTGAGCGATGACAGATGAGTCTGCTGGGCTGCTGTCCCGGGCTCATGTGACATGGAGACCGCCCCACAGAGTGGCCTTTATTTAGGGAACGTGATCCGTGACGCTCCGGAACACAGGAAAGGGGAAGTCCCCAGGAAAAGTGCCAGGTGTGGCTCAAATGATCCTCCTGCCCAGCGTCCTGTGTCCCTGCTGGGCATACCTGGCTCTCCGCCTCTAAGTCTTGAGGGCTCAGGTTGGCCTGCTGTTCGGCGTGTTGTAATCCTCTCTGCTCAGCCCTGGCGTTGCACAGATAGCTAACCACACAACGCCCAGCACATGGTCACTGGTTCTGTGCCCTCCCGGCTGGAGAGGAAGACACCTGGGGGCAGGCACGGGCCAGGGGCACCCGGGAGGGAATGGTGGGTGGCCACCTCTGTGGCGAGTGGGCGAGTGGCCAGAAGCTGTGGTGGCCCCTTTGGCTGGTGTCAGGGAGGGGCTGAGCTGTACCCTCCAGACTCCAGGGGCTGCTGGGAGAGGGGCTCCCGGCTGGGCTCCCAGGGCGCAGGTGCAGCTCCGAGGGTCTGGGCAGCCACCTCGTGGGGCCCTGCGCGCCCTGCCCTTGCTGTCCTCTTCCTGCACTCCGGAATGCCTGGGCCGGGGAAAGCCAGGGCTTTTCCTCTTAACTTGCTGCTGGCCACAAGGGACTTCCCAAGGGGAAGGGGAGGAGAGAAGAGAATCCACCTATGCAGCTACTGGGGGCAGGGATATGGCTTCGTGGATTAGTGAAAGGAAAATTAAGGCGATCTCTGTTACTCTCCATATTTTTCACACAGTGATCAGAATAAGCTTTTAAAGTTAGATCTTGGCTGGGGAGAGAGCTCAGTAGAATAAGTACTTGTCTGGCAACTGGAAGGGCCTGAGTTCAATCCCTGGTTCTGCAAAATAAATAAATAAATAATTTTTAAAAATAAAGTTAGATCTTTCAGGTCCGGGGAGATGGCTCAGTGGAATAAGCGCTTCCCTGGCAAGTGCAAGGGTCTGAGTTCAATCCCACTTTCTGAAAAAAAAAAAAGAGATCTTTCCAGGCTCCTAAAATTCTTCCCGGGTCAGGGAGATAGCTTACTAGTCCAAAGCGCCTGCTTAGGCAACTTAGGCAAGCACAGGGACTGTGGTTTGATCCCCAGTACCGCATGCTGTGCCAGCCCCACCCCCAGGGCAGGCTGAGCTGCCCCCACCCCCCGAAATTCCTTCCTGGCTGTGCAGCGGTCTGTCGGGCCTTCCCAGGGCCTACGACTCTGTTCAGCCAGTGGCTGCCTGCTTGTCGGCCTGGTCTCTAGTTGAGCTTCCCTGTGCTCGGGGGCACCGAGCCGCTGGCTCCTTTAGGCTCTGGCAGTCTGCCCCGGGACCTCTGCACCTGCCACTCACCTCACCCAGAACGCTCTTCCCTCAGTCAGTCAGTCACCCAGGTACCGTTCTCTCGAGGTTTTAGTTCACCTGTTTCTCGTGCAGGATTTCTCTGATCTCCCTGCGTAGGCCAGACTCTGCTTATCGGCTGCCAGAGCATCGTCCACCTCTACTGCTCATCCCGCAGTAGGCCTACATTTGCTGGCACCTTTGCTCCCTGTTCGTCTTCCTAAATCTCCAGCTGGCCTGTCTGTCCTTGGTCTCCAGTGGATGTCTCAATGGGTAGGTGTTGAATGAATGAATGAATGAATTAATTAATTAATTAATTAATTTTGATTTAGGGGCCTTCTGCAAAAAAGGAATACAAGACTTAAATTATACATCATTTTTTAAAAATTGCCAAAACAATTAAGAATATCTACATTGGGGAGATACCTGGCAAGTGCAAGGTCCCAAGTATGATCCCTGGTTCCAAAAAAATAAAAAATACATCCATTACCAACCTAGAATTAGGAAGGATTTTTGAAATGGTTCCATTTAGAGACAGAAACACATGTCCACTGTCACTTCTCTGGGAAATCAGCTGATGGCTGCCAAGAAAGCAGCTTGCTTCCCTTTGGACACCACTGTACTGGGGAATTCTGTGCAGGCCGCGGAACAGGAAGCTGTGCCCGGCGGGAAGAAAGCGGATCCCATGAAGTGAAAACCAGGAATGCAGATGTGGTTACCTCGGGAAAGCGGAGCATGTCACTTCCACCCAGGGCCTCAGTGAGGAAGGGACAGGAAACAGCCAGAGGATCTGGTGACAATTTGCTCTTCCTAATTCTGACTCTGGCTGGGTGTGGTAGCACACGCCTATAACCCCAGAGCTCAGGAGGCTGAGGCAGGAGGATTGCTGTGAGTTCAAGGCCAGCCTGGATCACATAGTGAGCTCAAGTCTAGCGGAGACTACATAGTGAGACCTTGCTCAATTAAAAAAAAAAATCTGACTTCACCTGGGGCCTCAACAAGGTGACAAACACAGGAATAAGGCAGCAAAAATAGACGTCCTGAGGCTCAGAGGCCATCAGAACCCAAACCTGTGGCTGTTACGGACTCCTCAGGGTAAAAGCTACAATTCTGAAGAAGCCATACCATACATTGTCCACTTTGGGGAAAATATCTCTGAAAAGGAGGCAAAAAGTGAAAATTCAGTCTGGCACAGTTAGCTTATTCCTGAGTGTAAAGGCACATAAAACCCTAGGTCAAAAAGAGGGGTTTTATTCATGCTTTTCAAAATTTAGATTAATATAGTAGAAAGCTGCTTGTTTTAAAGTTATTAAAAAGATAAACTGGACACCATGGTGTATGCTTATAATCCTAGCTATTCAGGAGGATGAGGCAGGAAGGGTATGAGTCTGTGGTCAGCCTGGGTAACTGAGTGAGAGAAACTCTGTCTCAATATAAAAAGTAAGGATAAGGCACTCCCCTTGGCTATACCAGCCCCTGAGTTCGACCCCCAATATTGGCCCCAAGTAAGTCTTGGAGTATCTATTTTAAAACTCACAATTGTGGGTCACAGTATTTCAGTATTATTCTTTGTTGTCCCTGTTCTTTAAAGTGGTTGTTGTTGAAAAGTAAAGGGCCCCAGTGACAGACCCATGAAGTGGAGATGCTGAGTGGTCCCCACCCTGGGGCTGCTCACATCGCTATTCTCTGAGGATGGGCCTGGAGGAGGCTGAGAGGTGTGGCCCCTGGGATGGCCACAGGCCAGGACCTGAGAGGTCGCTGTGGTCCCTCAGGCTTGCTGTCTCCTGGGCTGCTTCATGAGTCTCCTAGCTGGCTCTGCAGCCCCCCAGAGATGCCTGGTAGAAACCTGCACTCCTGAGGGGCCCCCGTCCTCCATGAAGCTCTGGGCCAGCGATGGTGTAGGCTTGTTGGTGTCTCGGTGTCCCCATGGGTGAGCTTGTGCTCTGCCTAGTTATTTGCATCACAACCCCAGAACCCAGTGATGTGAGACAACTATTCAGCTGTCCAGCTGACAGGGCAGTTGTCACTTGGGCAGTGGCCTGGGGCGGGGATGGGCCCGGGAGGCATAAGCGCCGGGGGCTGATCCCTACCATCCCCACGGGCACCATCCCCACGGCCGTGTGGGCTTCCTCACAGCAGGCAGCCTCAGGATGGTGGACCCTGAGATGGATACAGTGTTACCTCCACTATTGGCTAAAGCCACCCTAGTGGTCTGTACACAAAGGGACAAGTGTCAGGGTCTATGGCCACCTTTCGCCCTCTCTGTTCTGGGCTGTGCTTGCAGACAGTGTCCTCCCTGAGCACGCAGCAAGACTCTTGGGATCCACACAGCTCTGGTATTGGTGAGACGGACCCTACCCACTGTCCCAGCTGTCCCTGCAATAGCTCCAGACCAGCAGGTCAAGAATGAATGAGGTGTACACAGATGGCTAAGGGTCACACAGCTTCCTGGGGACAAGACTGAGCCTGAAATTTGTGTCTCTTGACCCCGTCGTGGCAAGGGTATGTGTGGCCGGCTTGTGTTGGGTTTCATGGGGCTCGTGGGGTCCGTCTGCCCCAAGGATGCAGTGCCACAGGGGAGGAGCCCCGTGGTCAGCAGGGACACTGGAAGCCGCCATACTGGCCCTGGCTCCTGGGAAACTCCTTCCGGATCCGCCAGCGGCAGCAGCTGGGCAGGATGCCAAAGTCGGCCACATCCTGGGAACCAAAGCGCCAGGCAGTGTAGCACCTGTAGGCGCAGTGTCGCAGCCGGCTGTTGGTAGCCTCCTCGTCCAGCACCAGCAAGGGCTCCTCGTAGAGCAACAGCTGCCGCAGCGCGTGTCGGGACAGCACGAGGGCCCCGAAGAGCTCAGAGGTGGTAATGCAGGGCCCCTGCTTCCGCCGGCAGCACACCTCCTCCAGGCACTTGCTCTCCTTAGGGAGCTGGGACGGGAGGCACTTTCCACACTGGCACCAGTCTGGGCTGTCCCCAGACTTGGGGGACCCCGCCCCGTGAAGTGGCTGCATCTCCTCTGGTCGTCCAGGGGCCAGGGCTGGGGCCAGGAGAGAGCCAGGCAGCTTGGACAGGCGCGCGAAGTCCACCGGGGCTCTCTGAAAAACACCCAGAGCGTGAGCCATGACCAGACCAGGGAGCTGCGGCCGCTTATGTTTTAGCAGCATTTAAAGCCGCATTTAATGTTAGAGTTGAAACCGCCATTCCTTCGGCGTTAGCACAGGGACTGGCTTGTGTCTCGGGTCCACAAGCCTTGGCAGACCTCGGTAAGGTATCTTTGTTCCCATTTTGCAAACTGAGAAAACGACATTCAGAAAAGCCTCATCTTCATTTAGCTACCGCCTCTCGCCGCAGCCTGCCTCCCTCGTAGCTACCTGCACACCAAGACCAAGGAATCCTCCCTTCTCCAGAGGACTTGGCAACAGCCACAGTGGTCACTCTGTGGCCTAGGTTAGCCATCGACTCGCGACGATCCTCCTGCCTCAGCCTCCCTAGTGCTGGGATTACAGGCGTGCACCACCACGCCTGGCTCGGTCTGCTTTGCTTACTGCCAGATCCCTGGATCTCAGCACAGTGTCCAGGACCCGGCAGACAGCAAGTGTTCTCTGTTACCATACCTATTTGTTACTCTCCAAGGGGGTGGCCGCGTTCCATTGCTATGCCTGTCCTTTGTGACAAAGACCTCATTCAGTGGACACATAAAACCTGAGTTGAGCAGATTAGGAAGTGAGCTCTTTTGTGTGAATGTTCACAACAATACCATTAATAATAGCCGAAAGGGGTCAGAGTAAATTTCAGCTCAGTGGTGCAGTACCTGCCTGGCAAGTATGAGGTCCTGAGTTTGATTCCCAATACCAAAAAAAAAAAAAGGTAATAGCGGAAAGGTGGAAATGACCCAAGAATTCATTAACTGATGCACAGGTAAACAAAGTATGGTCTATCCGCACAGTGGAATATCAGTCAGCCATAAAAAAGGAGGCTAACACGGCTCAGGAACGTGTGAACGAGAACCAGCAGTTGGAGCGCTATTGGTTTGCATCTACTAAAACAAAACACATGCCTGCCTCAGGACTCAGCAGTTCTGGCCTGAGGTGATCACCCATCAGATGCCAGGTGTTTGTACCTTGGTACAACTGGCATCAGCCTTGAACTAGAAACTACATAAATGTTCTTTGGCAGTGAAACATAAATAAGCTGGGTGTTTACCGCATGGAAATAGTACAGTAGTGGAGTGAGCTTCCGTAGTACACGCCGTCATGAATGATACAAAAACAATACTGAGTGAAAAGAGCCAGATACTCCAGTAAGTATATCCTGAGGACTCAGCATATGGTTTAGTAGCTATGAAAGGTCAAACTACGCTAGAAACCCAGATGATGACTTTCAAAAAACTTCATTTTTTCTTTTTGAAACAGTGTCTCACAGTGCAGTTCTGGCTGGCCTTGAACTCACTCGTAACCCAGGATGCTTCAGACTCGCTGAGATCCTTCTGCCCCAGCCACCTCAGGGCTAGGATTACAGGCGTGTGCTACTATGCCCATTTTTTTTTTTTTTTTTAAATCTAAGGTCTCATTGTGCAGTTCAGGCTGGCCTCGAACTCACAGTGATCTCCTGCCTCAGCCTCCTGAGTGTTAGGACTGTAGGGGTGAAACACCACCCCTGGTATAGTGACTATTTTTAAAGGAAAGTAGCAACTAGGAGGGGACATGAAAGGGACTTCTGCTAAGAATAGTTGGGGTTTGGTTTTTTTTGTCTTTGGGGGGACAGGGTCTCACTATGTAGTTCAGACTGGCTTTGACCTCACTTTGTAGCCTAGGTTGGTCTTGAACTTGCAAGGATCCTCCTGCCTCAGCCTTCCAAGTGCTGGCATTATGCACCACCATGCCTGGCTTTTTTTGTTCGTTTGTTTTTTTTTAGAGCTGGGCATCAAAGCCAGGGCTTGTGTATAGTAGGCAAGAGCTCTACCACGGAGGCACCCCCAGCCCAGGACATTCCATTCTTTAATCTGGTGCTGGTCACATGAACATGTTTGCTTTATTAAAGTTCATCAGTGATGATTTGTACAAATTAGATGTATTTAGATTTAATAGTAAGTTTTCTTATTTTTTAAGGAAGGACTGCCTAGCTGGATGGCACACGCCTGTAATCGCAGCATTCAGGAGGGGGCTGAGGCAAGAAGATCACAGCGAGTTCAAGGCCAGCCTGGGCTACACAGTGAGTTCAGTGTCTGAATCACATAGCAAAACTGTCTCCAGAAAAAAAATAAAAATAAAAAAAATAAATAAATAAAAAATAAAAAGACTAAACATTTTAACTTACTGGGACTTCTTGGCCCTTGGCATGTTGCAGGCTTTTCCCGAGGAGCTGCCGGTCCACCATCCGAATGTGGGGTTCATCCACAAAGGACACGTACTTTAACGTCTAGGGAACGGACATTAAAGAGCTTGTCTGGGGCTGGTGAGATGGCTCAGTGGTCTAAAGCACCTACTTAGAACAAGCTTAGCAAAGCACAGGGACCGCGGTTCAATCCCCCAGCACCACATGCCAGCCAGCCCTGCCCCCTGGTGGGCTGAGCTGGCCACACACAAATAAATAAATAAATAAATAAATAAATAAATAAATAAATAAATAGAAAAAGCTTTTAAAAAAATAAAATAAAATAAAGAGCTTGTCTGTTTTTGTACCGAATTACCAAGAGTTGCCGACCTAAACAACGGCCACTACCTTGCCCACTTAGCAGCCGACACTGTCGGACAAGCTACCCCTCGCCTGAGGTTCTGAGTCTGCGGGTCAACCGGAAACAGAAGCCCAGCTGCCGGTGCAAGCTGCGGGCGCAGAGGCCCCAGCCCCCCACTCCAGCCGGGTCCCCACGCTCCGGGTAGCTGTCCTGTGCTGGCTCTCAGCTTTGGGGACCTCAGGCTCAGCATCCTGGAGATTTCTGGTGGTGCAGCCTCTTGCACTACTGTGTGCTGGCTGTTTCACCCCACTGGGGCCATGGAGCGCTGGTTGTTTTTAGTTGTGCAGACAAACTTCTACTTCAGTCAGTGGACAGTGAGCTGCACGGCCAGCCTCAGGAAGAGGAGGGCAGGGATGTGCTTGCGTGCGGGAAAGACGGGGGGGTCCTCTTTGCTTTTAGGGAGCAGAGATTTCTCCCTGGGAGAGATCCTGGGGCTGAGCGCAGCAGGTCTGTGTGATAAGGCCCAGTTCACGAAATCAAAACACACAGACCAGGCTCAGGCTCCCTGTGACTGCAACGCCTGGTGGCAGTTCCGTGCATGCATATGCACACTTGTGTGTGTGTAACACACACGCAGACAATACATACTATTAGTTTATGGTTCTATTTTTTAACATATGCCATACATAATTGTTCTTCTCCTTGCTTTTTTTGTTCGTTTATTTTTGAGACAGGGTGTCGCTATGCAGTGCAAGCTGGCCTTGAACTTACGTAGCCCAGGCTGATGTAGGATTTACAGCGCTCTTCCCGCCTCAGCCTCGCGAGTGCTGGGAACAAGGCGTGCGCCCCCACGCTCCTCTGCAGGGCTGTGCTGAAGAGTCCACACACAGCACTTGGAAGTGCCGCGTAGACGTTCGCCTTTTTTGCTCTACCTCATTCCCTGAAACCGGTGCCTGGTGCGGAGCGCTCATCTCTCGCCACTCACCTCCAGGAACTCGGGCTGCGTGCTGTTTTCCTCCTGTTCACGCTCACTTATTCAGCAGTCACCTAACCACCAAAGCTGCCATACACACCTGGACACGCGCATGGCGTGGGGACTGTCCAGAGGCTTCCTCGGGAGGTCTGCGTGGAGACACCACGCCGCAGAGCGTGGTCCATTTTTAGGGGATTAATCCCTGCCAAACTCTTCCCCTGCGTCGTCCCCCAAGTTTTTCTTTTCTGGCTGTACCAACTTAATAAATGAAAGATGCGACCAGTCTTGGAACACTTGTCTTCTTCCTTGTCTGTCTTGCTTTTCTCTCTCCCACCCCTCTTTATTGACACAGGGTCTTCCTATGTAGTCCAGGCTGGTCTCGACCTTACTATACGTCCAGGCTGCCCTCTAACTCACAGCGATCCTCCTGCCTCAGCCTCCGAGTGCTAGGATTACAGGTGTGCGCCACCACCCCCTGCTCTATTTTGTTTTTATTCTTCCTTAGGACCAAAGTGTCATCAGAGAGGGAGGGCCTGGGCCGTCCTGCGCTCCCGACCTGGTCTGTACGCCTTTCCCAGCCGTCTAAGGGCTCTGCGCTTACCCGCTTGGGCTCTACCACGGCCTCACACTTCTTCCTGTAGTAGAATTCATTGGCTGCACAGGGTTCGCAGCACGGGCACCAAGGATAGACGTGAGACCGGCAGATGGCGCTGGAGTAGGTGTTGATGAGAAAGTCGATGAACACAGTGGCCTAAGGCAACCCAGAGAGCACAAGGTAGTGAGACTTCTTTTTTTTTTTTTTTTTTTTTTTTTTTAATTGCA